CAACACAGGACAGAGCAGCGCATCGTGGGTGTTTCTCCCCCCTCCTCCGTTCCGAGCATAGATGGACTCGTCCGTCTGAACAAAGCTCGTCACTTTCCGTGGTGCTAACGTTGAAAAGAAAAAAACGCCACCTTTTTTTTTCGACATAGAATTGTAATGTATAACGACTTATTGTTAGTAGCTCAGCTGATTGAAGAGTATATTGAGCTTATTGATAACATTGATGTAGTTTATATTTTAGTTTTTTTATCAGTTTACTATATGGTTTTCATTATATAGTGTAGTGTATACCCTGCTACTTTATGTTAATAGCTCAACTTATTGAAGAATATATTGAGTACATTTATTATATTGATGTAGTTTATACTTAGTTCTTTCACATCGGCTTATTGTATAATAGTTGGGTAGTTGAAGTTCTTTAGCGTCAATATACTAAATGCCTCTGTTGATATGTAAACTCTGACTTTAACATAGCTACTTCCGTGACCAGTTACATGCTAATCCCTCACATTAACATCATGCTAATCTCCCAGTTACATGCTAATTTATTACTTTAACACCCTGCTAATCCAACACTTTAACACAGCTATTTCAATGCTAAATTATTCTGTTGATATGTTAAAGCCTTTGTCAAGGCGCTCTGCTCCTCCCACCCAGCTTAAAAGACGCTGCCAAGCTTAGCAGTGTTCATTGAAGCGCTGTCATCCCGACAGTTCTGTTCCTTCACCCGAAGAAGGCTACTTGTGTTGTGGCCGAAACGTCGTGAGAATTTTAGTTTATTATTTTTTATTATTTAATTTCCATGCTACGTGACTTTACCGAAAGAACCAAGAAGATGAATCCCTGCAGTCACGAAAGCTTTAAATCAAAATTAAGATTTTTTTTTGCAATTGGCCTTGTTGACGTTATTTTTGTTCATCAGTGATGTGTAGGCGATGGCTGGACCTGTTGGCTATGCGAGCCTAAATAAAGACCCAGAATGCATTCTGATGCACCAGTGCTCACGTGGCTTTTGCTCTGCTGTCGACCCCTGTTGCTCCCTGCTGCACCGAGCGCTATCCACGCTCAAATCCGCTCAAATCTGCTCAGCTTCCGAACTTTTTGGGGTCACATTCCGTGTGATTGTGTCACAGGTCTCATAGGCGCACACACACACGGATGGTTGGGTAATTTGGCATTATGCTGTTTGCGAGCATCGATTGTAAATCATCGCGTGTAGAACTTTCGCAGCTATGTCGCCTGCCAATAAGGAGGCGAAACTTCCTATGCACTAGACGCGTAATTCCCTTTTGATTCATTTGTGGGCCAATCAAATGCTATTTTTATGCTAATTCCTTTGTCAAGGCACCTTGTTTCCTCGCACACAGCTTAAAGGTCGCGGTCTGAGCATTGCTGTGTTTCACTCCAGCGCTGTCCTCGAGACAGCCTGGTCCCTTCACCTGATGAAGGCCGCTTGTGTTGTGGCCGAAACGTCGTGATTTTTGTTGTTTTATTTTTTTCACCTACGTGACTTTACCGAAAAGAACCAAAGAGTATGGATCCTTGCAGTCACGAAAGCTTCAAATCTAGAATTGTGGGGAGGAGTTCGAATTTGGCAAATAAAGACGCGCGAATCGTGGTGGCTATTTTGGCCATACTTCACCACGCTGGTCAGTGTAAGTTGGTTAAAGCGGGACGCATGGACACATAGCGTGTGTTTTTCTCCGGGTTCCTCCAGCTGTTCCCCTCCACATTTAGAATCAACGTGCGTTTAGAGTAATTTGACTGCTATAAATGTCTACATTGGCAAGTCACTTCGTTGTGTTGTCAGTTGTGGGCAGGTCGCTTCTGAATAAAAGCTCTATAGCTCAGTGGGCCTTTACCTGATCAAATAAAAAAATATATTTATTGTTGCAGTCACGAAAGTTTTAAGTCAAATAAAAAAAAGTGTTGGCTCCCACTAGCCTATAACACTTGGTATGCACTATCCAGACTCAACCCTGCTTAGTGTCCGATGGAGACACAGACGGGATCTGGTGCATTTCTGGCGATTTTGTCAGAGCCTCAACATGTAGCCCTAACCATGGCGAATCTTCGATGTTGCACGAGGACGAGGCTGAATCTCGGGATGACATGAAGAATCGGGTAAGAATGAGAAATCTACAAATAAATCGCCCTGCCTGCTCCCATCATTGCAAGCTCCTTCCCGTACGCGACACCACACGCCTCTTGACATCAATACCCAATCGGTAAATTACATCCCACAAACCCTGTCTCTGACTGATATGGCATCGTGTCGTGAGATAAACGTATCCATCCGGATATTCTGCGGAGCAGAACATTCCATCGCGTTAGGTGACGGGGCTCGGGGAAGCGGCTCATGCACGAGAGGGCAGCACTTTCACATCAGCTCTACCACTGTCACATGACCGCGAAACTCACATGAAATTATATCATCGCTGGCATTTGGCCAATCATAGAACCTAATTTAATGCCGTTCGTGCATTTCTTGGCGACTGGGTTGAGACCATCAAACTCACTACACTTGAAAAATGTTTTTTTTTTATCAAGGCAGCTACCTGGATTCAAACCCAGGGGTGTAGTCGTGGCAGCTTTGCACTCTGACCTCTGAGCGACTATGAAACAAAAGTACAGTACTATGGTTTTAATCTCCACAGTATACATCCATCAATTATCCAATTATTTCATCAACAACAGCCCTCTGCTATACACCGTACCTTAGATTCCACCACTCAACTTGCCCATCCACACCATGCCTCGCCCCATGAGGCAATTGAACCACGCACCTCATGGCTAAGTCAAACTACCAATGCTATCTACATCTCTCACACTATCTCCAACGTGAATCGATCACCTCCACATTGCACACACTGACAACTTGCAGTTTTACGCATATGTCTATTTTCACAATGTAACTGGCAAGTGGAAAACTATTCTTATACTAATGCCAATTAATTATTTATCCAGCAAAGACTCACTGATTCCTTCGACTATATTTTAGGAGGGTCCTGCATTGATATGTTTGGCCAATATCCTTAGTGTGTGGCTTCACGTGGGTGAAACCCGGAGTCTAGCCAGTACACACACGATGGTTGATTCTCAGCACTGCCATCTCGTGGCAACACATTGTAGCTCCATGCCTGCATCACCTGCAAAGCCCTGGTGACAACCCATTCCAGTTATTAATCTTTCTCCAGCCTGCTTAGCTTTCGAAATGTGATTAAATTTAGAATGATTTTAATTATGATTGTGGTGCTGATAATTGCGATGGTGATGTTTGTGATTGTGTTCATGGCGATGATTATAATATTGGTGATTTTGATTGAGATCATAATTATTCTCATGCTAATGAAAGTGATCATGATTGTGATCATAATCAATTACACATTTTTAAACTTAAAACATGTAGCAAAGAAATTTACAAACGTTGAGAGACAAAAATAGATTTACATAAAGACCACATCCTGCTGGCCGTACAAAGCTAAATCGTACGTTTGTAGCAAGTTTGCGATGGTGGTGGACAGGACGGTAAAAGTGCGTGGTCGGGAGTCAGAGCCATTTCCTGTTCACCTTGGGGTGCGATAGGGATGTTCTCTGACCCCTGCACTACTTAATACATTTTTTGACCACGTAGTTCCAGAAGCTTTCCATGGCTGTACCTGAAGAGGTTCCATCTAGCATAGATACAATGGGAGGCTGATTGATGCCTAGGTACGGTCAAGGGATGGATTCTTCTTGGTCAACCATGTTATGTATGCTGACGACCTGATAATTGCTGCTCACTCTGAAGCAGCAGTTGTAGACTCTACTACTAAACCTGGAGCATGTCACAAAGAGATTGGGCTCGTAATGGTTATATATGGTGTAATGACAAATTCGTTAAGTGGGGTAAAAATGCATTACTTTATATAGAACTGATGGGATGTGGGTAACAGGTGTGTGTTGCTTTGGAATGTGCAATCAGGTTCGTTCGTGGGGTGGTTGATGTCAGTTGGATGGATTGCTCTGCCACCATTTCATGTATTTGACAGTGTTGGTGGATTGGTGTGAACGGTGGTAATTTTTTGGTGCCTGCTAGGTTTAGAATTGTGTAAAGAGGAGAGATGGCTGCAGGTGAAGGAGTATGTTGTTAGCAGATAAGAGATGCATCATAGAAGACCCAAGGCGCAATATCGTCTCGAGTCTGTTATAATAAGGGTGAGTGTACGTATAAATATACATGCCACAAATGTGTATGTGTAAGAGTGATTTCTTTTGCGTGATTTGTTGTGTAAATAAAAGCCATTTTAAGTTAAGCCTTGCGTCCACCTGTCATTCCAAAATAAATGAGTAATGTATTCAATATGGAGGGTCCCTGTTGAAAGTGCCCAGGAGCCTAATCTCTAAACAAAGCCATTGCTTTGTTACATGGGATCCTATCATTTCAATGGAATGCTCGTGCCAAAAAAATATTTGGTACTGCAGCTGCATTAACAAACAAAAAATTAGATTGACCAATGAGACCCAGAAAATCGAAACAGGTCAAAAGTTTGCTTTCTTAAAAAAAATGCTACATTATAATATTGCTCGCTAAAGCCACATAGGCTGATGAGATTTTTTTTTAAAAAATATTCGTATGTGGATAGATGATTGCTCATGTGCCCTCTCAACTCAAGAGCTCTCTCATCAGCTGATCCAACTCATTTCACAACACTGCTCAACCCGAATTCAGCACGCAGACATTGCACGTTCGATTCCTCATTTTTTTTAAATTTACACATATCCCCGACAACCGCATTACTGTTGAGCGTCACATCCAACCTAAACAAATTATAATTAAATTTAATTAATCTGAGCAGAGCACAGCAAATAATCAGCCGAGACACCCAACAGCAACACACACGTTTAACTTCGCTCACCATATCCCGACCGCGATCCGATTCTACGCGACTCCAATCAGAATCGATCATTCTAACCACCGCACCAACGACGTGCAGGCGAATCGGCGCGCTAATCGATCCTGCCGTAATCGACTCACGCACGTGAAAGTGTGGTGGAATCGATTCCGCAGGTGGCGCGTGTGTGAGCAGTCAGCCCCGGGGTCGTCTCGGCACCCCCCCCATCACCACCACCACCACCGCGGTGTCCGTGTCGCCACCTCGCGTCTCTTCTCTCAGTGTGCTGCCCCCCCCCACCCCGCTTGACATGGAGGGAGTCCCCCGCAGGCGCCAGGCGAGGAGGGAGCACGCCGAGGCGGTGGGGAACGGCAGCTGTCCCCCGGGTGGGGATAGCGGGCGAGTCGGGGGTGCCCACGGGGCTGTCGGCTCGTCGGCCTCCCGGTGCCGCCGCTCGACGGAGTCCGAGGTCTACGACGATGGCACCAACACATTCTTCTGGTGCGTGCACGTCTGTCTGTGTGTGTGTGGGGGGCTGTGTGTGTGGGGGGGCTGTGTGTGTGTAGGGGGCTGTGTGTCAGTGGGGGGCTGTGTGTCAGTGGGGGGCTGTGTGTCAGTGGGGGGCTGTGTGTGGGGGGGCTGTGTGTCAGTGGGGGGCTGCGTGTGTGTAGGGGGCTGTGTGTGTGTAGGGGGCTGTGTGTCAGTGGGGGGCTGTGTGTGTGTAGGGGGCTGCGTGTGTGTAGGGGGCTGCGTGTGTGTAGGGGGCTGCGTGTGTGTAGGGGGCTGTGTGTGTGTAGGGGGCTGTGTGTGGGGAGCGATAGTGTAGCGGTTAGCGCGCTGCGCTATGAACCCGGCAACCCGGGTTCGATTCCCGCTCACGGCCAACACCAGTGACGATTATCTGTACCGGTTCCGGGCCTCCCCTAGGTCGACTCAGCCTCAAATGAGTACCTGGTGCGGTGTGTAAACATTGCCACTAGGGAGACAAAGGCGGTCGGGCGTGGTGCTGGCCACCCACCCCCTCGTGTACCGTTCCGGCCTTCAAAGGTGCTCGCTAACAGCACTTGCCCCTACAGTCTGTTAAGGCTATATGGGGGATCTTTGTCTTTGTGTGTGTAGGGGGCTGTGTGTCAGTGGGCGGCTGCGTGTGTATAGACGCTTGGACCCCCCCTAATGGAACATCTTCGCCGGTTGGAAACAACGATCCATCCTGGGTTTAACCAGGCTGGATTGTGTGAGGAGCTCACAAATCCTTGAAAGATCTGGGCAAGGTCCCATCGGTGAGCTCCTCCGGCAGGCAAGGCTGCGTTGGCTGGGTCATGTAGCCCGCATGCCCAGCCACCGCATGAAACAGCTTTTGTTCGGCCGGATCGAGGGGGCTAAACGGGCGGGGCACGGGCTAGAGAAGAGATGGAGTGACGTGGTACAGGAGGCACGGGCTAGAGAAGAGATGGAGTGATGTGGTACAGGAGACACGGGCTAGAGAAGAGATGGAGTGATGTGGTACAGGAGGCACGGGCTAGAGAAGAGATGGAGTGATGTGGTACAGGAGGCACGGGCTAGAGAAGAGATGGAGTGACGTGGTACAGGAGGCACGGGGCTAGAGAAGAGATGGAGTGATGTGGTACAGGAGGCACGGGCTAGAGAAGAGATGGAGTGACGTGGTACAGGAGGCACGGGCTAGAGAAGAGATGGAGTGATGTGGTACAGGAGGCACGGGCTAGAGAAGAGATGGAGTGACGTGGTACAGGAGGCACGGGCTAGAGAAGAGATGGAGTGATGTGGTACAGGAGGCACGGGCTAGAGAAGAGATGGAGTGATGTGGTACAGGAGGCACGGGCTAGAGAAGAGATGGAGTGACGTGGTACAGGAGGCACGGGCTAGAGAAGAGATGGAGTGATGTGGTACAGGAGGCATGGGCTAGAGAAGAGATGGAGTGATGTGGTACAGGAGGCACGGGCTAGAGAAGAGATGGAGTGATGTGGTACAGGAGGCACGGGCTAGAGAAGAGATGGAGTGACGTGGTACAGGAGGCACGGGGCTAGAGAAGAGATGGAGTGATGTGGTACAGGAGGCACGGGCTAGAGAAGAGATGGAGTGACGTGGTACAGGAGGCACGGGCTAGAGAAGAGATGGAGTGATGTGGTACAGGAGGCACGGGCTAGAGAAGAGATGGAGTGATGTGGTACAGGAGGCACGGGCTAGAGAAGAGATGGAGTGACGTGGTACAGGAGGCACGGGGCTAGAGAAGAGATGGAGTGATGTGGTACAGGAGGCACGGGCTAGAGAAGAGATGGAGTGACGTGGTACAGGAGGCACGGGCTAGAGAAGAGATGGAGTGATGTGGTACAGGAGGCACGGGCTAGAGAAGAGATGGAGTGATGTGGTACAGGAGGCACGGGCTAGAGAAGAGATGGAGTGATGTGGTACAGGAGGCACGGGCTAGAGAAGAGATGGAGTGATGTGGTACAGGAGGCATGGGCTAGAGAAGAGATGGAGTGATGTGGTACAGGAGGCACGGGCTAGAGAAGAGATGGAGTGATGTGGTACAGGAGGCACGGGCTAGAGAAGAGATGGAGTGACGTGGTACAGGAGGCACGGGGCTAGAGAAGAGATGGAGTGATGTGGTACAGGAGGCACGGGCTAGAGAAGAGATGGAGTGATGTGGTACAGGAGGCACGGGCTAGAGAAGAGATGGAGTGATGTGGTACAGGAGGCACGGGCTAGAGAAGAGATGGAGTGATGTGGTACAGGAGGCACGGGCTAGAGAAGAGATGGAGTGACGTGGTACAGGAGGCACGGGCTAGAGAAGAGATGGAGTGATGTGGTACAGGAGGCACGGGCTAGAGAAGAGATGGAGTGATGTGGTACAGGAGGCACGGGCTAGAGAAGAGATGGAGTGACGTGGTACAGGAGGCACGGGCTAGAGAAGAGATGGAGTGATGTGGTACAGGAGGCATGGGCTAGAGAAGAGATGGAGTGATGTGGTACAGGAGGCACGGGCTAGAAAAGAGATGGAGTGATGTGGTACAGGAGGCACGGGCTAGAGAAGAGATGGAGTGACGTGGTACAGGAGGTACGGGCTAGAGACGCGATGGAGTGATGTGGTACAGGAGGCATGGGCTAGAGAAGAGATGGAGTGATGTGGTACAGGAGGCACGGGCTAGAGAAGAGATGGAGTGATGTGGTACAGGAGGCACGGGCTAGAGAAGAGATGGAGTGATGTGGTACAGGAGGCACGGGCTAGAGAAGAGATGGAGTGACGTGGTACAGGAGGCACGGGCTAGAGAAGAGATGGAGTGATGTGGTTCAGGAGGCACGGGCTAGAGAAGAGATGGAGTGATGTGGTACAGGAGGCACGGGCTAGAGAAGAGATGGAGTGATGTGGTACAGGAGGCACGGGCTAGAGAAGAGATGGAGTGATGTGGTACAGAAGGCACGGGCTAGAGAAGAGATGGAGTGACGTGGTACAGGAGGCACGGGGCTAGAGAAGAGATGGAGTGATGTGGTACAGGAGGCACGGGCTAGAGAAGAGATGGAGTGACGTGGTACAGGAGGCACGGGCTAGAGAAGAGATGGAGTGATGTGGTACAGGAGGCACGTGCTAGAGAAGAGATGGAGTGATGTGGTACAGGAGGCACGGGCTAGAGAAGAGATGGAGTGACGTGGTACAGGAGGCACGGGCTAGAGAAGAGATGGAGTGATGTGGTACAGGAGGCATGGGCTAGAGAAGAGATGGAGTGATGTGGTACAGGAGGCACGGGCTAGAAAAGAGATGGAGTGATGTGGTACAGGAGGCACGGGCTAGAGAAGAGATGGAGTGACGTGGTACAGGAGGTACGGGCTAGAGACGCGATGGAGTGATGTGGTACAGGAGGCATGGGCTAGAGAAGAGATGGAGTGATGTGGTACAGGAGGCACGGGCTAGAGAAGCGATGGAGTGATGTGGTACAGGAGGCACGGGCTAGAGAAGAGATGGAGTGATGTGGTACAGGAGGCACGGGCTAGAGAAGAGATGGAGTGACGTGGTACAGGAGGCACGGGCTAGAGAAGAGATGGAGTGATGTGGTACAGGAGGCACGGGCTAGAGAAGAGATGGAGTGATGTGGTACAGGAGGCACGGGCTAGAGAAGAGATGGAGTGATGTGGTACAGGAGGCACGGGCTAGAGAAGAGATGGAGTGATGTGGTACAGGAGGCACGGGCTAGAGAAGAGATGGAGTGATGTGGTACAGGAGGCACGGGGCTAGAGAAGAGATGGAGTGATGTGGTACAGGAGGCACGGGGCTAGAGAAGAGATGGAGTGATGTGGTACAGGAGGCACCAGGCTAGAGAAGAGATGGAGTGATGTGGTACAGGAGGCACGGGCTAGAGAAGAGATGGAGTGATGTGGTACAGGAGGCACGGGGCTAGAGAAGAGATGGAGTGATGTGGTACAGGAGGCACGGGCTAGAGAAGAGATGGAGTGATGTGGTACAGGAGGCACGGGGCTAGAGAAGAGATGGAGTGATGTGGTACAGGAGGACGTGGAGCTGAGTGGACTTGCCGATGACTGGTACCAGCGGTGTCAAGATCGGCCTCTGTGGAGGAGGCTCGTGAAGGACGCTACTGGGCTAGTGCCAGGCTAGGTGCACCTTGAGGCTACTGGGCAGTTGGAGGCAGTCGCCCTCCAACAACAACGGAGGGCGGAGGAGCGACGCTCACAACAACGAGCGGAGCGCCGGGTGGCTAAAGCACAGCAGGTTGGCACAGTAGGGGGCACAGGTGGTGCATCAGCCAGTCATCTCAGTCAGTCGACCGGTGGCACCTGGGACTGCCCCGTGACCTCCTGCCAGCGGGCGTTCGACACTTCACGTGGCCTCAAGGTGCACATGGCCTGGCACAAGCGTCGTGGTGACGTCACCGCCACTTAGTGACGAATGGCGATTGTTGTTGTTGTGTGGAGGGCTGTGTGTGTGGAGGGGCTGTGTGTATGGTATATGGGTTACTGTTAATGGGGTTTTCTGAGGGTATGTGTTGAATGTGTATGGCGTGTATATCGGGCGGTTCACGTGTAACTGTGTATCATGCTGTGTGGCCATATCGTGTGCGACGTGTATTGTAGCCCGTAGCGTTTTTTCTTGAAAGAGCTGCGTGCACATGACATCTCTTAAGGGGTGTATAGGCGGCCGCTCGGTCACGTTGCCAGCAGAGGGCAGTGTAGCAAAATCTATTGGACTGTACTACGCTGCGACACCCATGCTCCCCGAATATCAGTGGCGAGTGAACTGTAATTGTCAGTCGTGCGTTCACAATGGGTGGGCATCGCTGCTGCGTGGATGACTACGGGCACGGCTTCCCCTGCCATGCCTCGATGTGTTGTGTGGACACAGCTACTGTACGCGTGTCTGCGTTGTGACCTTGTGTGCAGTGTCATGCCATTGCCCCACGTGGCGTGGTGCCTCTAATCGCACACCACGCTGCTGTGGGGGACCCTCTTTCGTAATAGAGCCCTCGGTCTAGAATTCCCGTGCCAATTTTTTTCACATATAAAATACTTGCGCTGGAATTTACACCCTGAGTTTCTCATGATTAAATTAGCACCAACGTAACGATAATAAACAAAAAAAATGTATTTGTCCCCCATCACCAAGCTGCACCGTCCCACGTGGTGGAATATGGTACCAAAACAGCCCCATGACCGACATGGCTTGGGGGAGGCCTTCATCCATTGGTGAATTGTTATTGGCTGGAATTAATTGATGTGCTTTGTGCAACCGACTACCGTACTACCAAATTAGCTAGAATACATTCCTTTAATTTCAAGCACATGAGGAATGATTAATGCAATACTGTACCGTATGCCTTGTTTTTAGATACAGCTTTGCCAGGTTAGATTTGAAGATCTGAACTGTTATCTCAATCTGGCCTGGGCCTCCTTTATGTGGACTTAGTCTAAAATGATTCCCATGTGCATTTGTTTCAACACCAGCACTGAGGAGGCATTGGTGCCTGCATGTGCTTCATCCCCGGGTGTGCTATGCTGGCCTTAATAGGTGCTCGCAAAATGTATTTCTCCAATAGTCTAAGATTGTTTTTAAAATGTGGACTAGGAGATGGCAGTACAGCAATGGATTCTTGAATCTATCTGTATAAACTAGTCAATCGAATTGGCCAAATATCCCAATTCGTGACCCTCCTGAACAAAAGAGCTCTGAAATTCCGTAAGGTATTCATCAGTAAATAAAGGGCATTATGTTTGGACGTAGAAGTGTTTTTGTATATTGCTTGCAATTCTAAATAGGGCTTAATAGGAATCTTTGTGTGAACATTTGAATGGAAATCCGTTGGTATTTTTCGCTTTGATAGCAGTGTCAGTGACACTTTGTATGGATGGAGGGTCAGCATCTGCTGCAGTGGGTGAGAGGACGCTGGGGCAGATTATAGGAGGACATAACCGCAGCAGCTGTTAGGAAATTGTGCATCAAGATTGAGCATTGTCACCCAAGGCAAGCCGGAGACAAACTAATGGCCGTGTGATTTTGACAGGCAGCAGCCATTATAGCTGCTTCCAAATATAATTTGATCCTCCACTATCCATGCTTCTGAAATCAATACCAGTAAGGTAGCGTATAGCTTCACTGCCAGGGAAATCATTCCTAAGGCTATAAAACCAGTCCTAAGCCGATCATATTATTGCTAAAGCTACCAATGGCATCTTCTACCATTAACTCAAACCATGTCCAAAACTGTGCTCATGGCATAAGCCCAGTCACATTTTGCCGGTCCCCCGGGTTTGTTGCTCGCAAGTAGCTTGGTTTCTGTATTGAGCTCTTGTGTAACAAAAAAAGTGTGCCCATGGCCTCTTCTTTAGCATAATGGGGAGTTGAACAGCAACATTTATATAATCATGTGATGTTAGTAAATTAGCCAGTGGATGGCTTCAGGAGTAACCTGGTGAATATCTGAAGTGCTATCCTGTGACTGGTCAAAGCAGGCAGTAGTGCTATTATGTGGTCCTCGGCTTGATATTGGTGACCAACAATCGCACTGTAAACCAGTCTTAATTGTCCATTGTGTTCTTGACCTGGCACCAAGAGTCTATCAAGTTTAAGTCATTAGGTTTGCTGCTTGATCTAAGTGATTAAAACAATCAGCTCATCAATAAACCCACACCACCAGTGTGGTGAAATATTGTCAAATAAAACCCCCCTTTAACCACACAGCATGAGTAGGCCTTTCTCCACCATTGAATTGGCGAAAGGGTTAATTGACCAAAGGGTAATTTTAATGTACGTGTTCACGGTGTGCATTTTCCCCAATGTACAGTATACTCTTGTATGAATAAAAAAAATGTTTTTTGTGCTGATGAACAATTTCTTTATCCACATTTTGTTTGCCACCGAATCTAATTTGTACATAACATCAAAGGTTCGGGTTTATAAACCCTTGGCATAATGTCATGGAAAGTTCACTTTGGGAGTGTTATAGAGTTCACGGCTTGCCACGTGCGTGGTTTGCGATCAACCCCCTTGGTAAAACAACTGAGAAAGGAACTTCAACCTAGTGCTTTTTATGTCAATTAGGTGAGGGATCATGTAAGTTTTGATGCCTTTTCTATGGTATCAAAGCTCATTATTGAGTTGAAAATAGCCAAATCATGTTTTGAATAGTAAGTCTCATGCTGTTGGCCAGTGGTGTTAAATTAGTGTTTTGATGTTTTCTAAATGATGCCTGAAATAAAACAAATCTCCTCTCTACTGACCCGACCCATGCTGGACGTCTGTGAAAAAGAGCTTCATTGCTCATCGGATTCTTCCAGTCTAAATAAATATTCTGATTCTGACTTTCTCCTCTGCTCATTCTATCATGTTTACCATCTTTTTTAAATGTCCATATTGAACTTGCCTATTTCATTCAAGGCTAAAAACTAAGACTACCTTTTCATAACTGGGATCGCAGTTTGATTCATGAATCTGTTCATCTTTCTATAGTTATTTGCTGTTTCATTTTAATTGCCTCATGCGGTGTCTCGTACTGTATTGTTCCATTGCCTTGTAACGTTTGCATGCATCTTAAGGAATTGGTTGTCTGTAAAAGTTTATTGTGTGTGGAAGGAACCAGGAGTACTGTACCTGGGAAAAATCCATGCCTACGGGGGGAAGGAGGGGGGGGGATAACACTACAAGTCAAACACAAACGGGGTCCCGATGGCATCTCATGGCCACCTCACGACCCAGCAGCAGATTTTTCAGTTTAACAAATCTACACAGAAATCGCCAATCCTTGTCTTCTCTCAAAAATGCTGGCTTACAGGCTCAAGATTGCGCTGCAATAAATCGTGTTGATGATGTAATTTTAATGCATACAGATAGTCCCCGACTTGCGACATTTCGATCTTACGATGGCGATACGACACAATTGTCAAATATTTTAAATTTCGCGCGGCAGGCAAACACAGCAGCGTGCTATTTCGGTGCGATGCTGGACGTTGGGACGCTGCCGGGGATGTACGCATCTCCCGCCTTTAGCGATTTCATTTTAGGTTTACCACGATACGATACGTTCAATGCATGTTAAACGTTTTTAGAGCAGATAGGATAGTTTCCTGAAAAAAACTTTCTATTCAATTGCAGTTCATATAGGTAGGCTAAGAATCTACCTTGTGTGTTTTTTTACTTTACATTTTACTGTGCAATACAGTATTGTAATTAATAAATACATACAGTATATAGTTTCTACAGTACGGTACTGTAAATTGCTCTGTTTTGCTAAATTATCACCATTCTTTAAGACTCCTGGGTAGGCTAGGCCATCTTACGATGGGGTTGTCGTAACGCGTCTCCGTCGTAAGTCGGGGACTACCTGTACATCTTTTTTTAGCGCATTGTAAAGTCTGTAAATACTTGTGTACTGCTGCTGTTGTTGTTGTTGATTTAACAGTGATTGTGTGTGCGCGCGTGTTGCCTTTCAACAGGAGAGCACACACTCTCACCGTGCTGTTCGTTCTCATCTGCACGCTGGTCTATGTCACCCTCATAGAGGAGACCCCGCAAGACACAAACTACAACACCAAACGGTAACGTTGATTTGTGTGTGGGCACATGCATTTGTTCGCATTCCATAATTTTAGAAAAATGTGCTCTAAGCAGAAATAAGTCAGCCTGGCTATTTCTGTATCCAGTATGTGCCTGCGTATGCCTGAATGCACGCTGCTCTTTAGTTTACCCCAGTGTGTGCCAATAAAAGTTGGCCTGGCTCATTTTTGCCTCGGTTGCATACTGATAGCGTGCCTCTGTGTATGTGGGCTGGGCAGAAATGTGGTGTGCTGGTTGGTGAAATGCGCTACAAACGTGGTGATCTGAATAAAATTTCCAGCCACTTTTAACTCCGTTGCAAATATAGGAATCGTTCCTGGGCATTCCCTTTGGCTTTCAGCCTTAAATGAGTAAGTACCTGGTGTGTTATGTAAACATCAGCATTGGGGAGACAAAGGCGTGGTACTGGCCACTCCACCACCCCGTTTGTGCGCCATTCCAGCCTTCATGTGTACTAGCAAATAGGATTTGCCCCAACAGTCAGCATAGGCTGCACAGGGGTCCTTTTGTATATTTGGAATGCTTATGTGGGTGAGTGAGTGTAACGGTGTGTGAGTGTGTGTTGGCCAAAGTGTTGTAATTCAAACCTTGCAAAAGAACAGATGCCGTTGGTATGCTCTTTCTCAAGGTCATCGCAGCCTTATATGAGTGAGTGTTCCCTGCTGTTTGGTGCTACAAATTTGAAGAAGTCCACATTGGCTTTGGGTACCTGGTGCCCCCACTTAGCTCTTGTGTCACCGTTTGCCCAATAGACACTTGCCAGCAACGTATCCCAGCATTGAAACATAGCTGCCCAAGGATATGAGAGGAAGGGCAGCAACATTTTCCTGCTGTCATATCTATTAGCTGGCAGGAATTACACGTCATAACAGTACTATACAATAGCAGTCCTTTGTGTCCAGAAGTCACGGCAGCTTGATCAGCTACTGTAAGTCATTCATCGTGAGAAACAGCTGCTCTATATTGGCTCAGCCACGTCTGGATTTACCTTCCACAATATTTTTTCTTATGCATCGTACAGTTGTAACACTTTATGTTAAATGATGAGAAACTAATGAGACCGAAGATGTGCATGCAGCATGGAAACAGATAAGAGTAATAACATGCGCAAAAGATGACTTAGAGACTGCAAGAGGCACAAATGTTACCATTTTATCGGCCTTGCCATCATCCTTTGCGAGTCACATGACATCACCACACCATGTATCTGTGCACACAGCCCTGTCCTTGATAACCAAATTTGTAAAAATTGTGGCCATTTAATGAGGAAGCTTCAAGACAATGAAACAAATGTATTGGTTTCATAATTTTTTTGATTCAATACAGTTTTCACAACTTCGATGCTTTTTTGGGTTGGTGGTCTTGAATAAGGCTGTGAATATACGCGCAGTATGGTGATATCTCATGACATGCAGGACATGATGGAAAGACTGAACGTTTGTCACAAGTCTGCCTTTTTTATTTATATTCTTTGTTCATGTAAAGGTCATTTTGAATTAATAAAATAGCAAAAATTTAAACAAAAATCAGACTCCTGCACTCCTATAATCGACAGGACATGCTGAGAATAGGCAGGAAAGATGTATTATTTGTTTAATTCCTGCTACAGCTCAATGTAGAGTGATACATGCTTCAGATCATGAGATTAAAGAGATTATACATTTGATCAATCAGAAACCAATTCAAGTCAATCCCTAAAAAAAAAATTATTGTGTTTCCATGTTTTTTTATTGTGTTTACTCATTTCATAATAACTCATGGGTACATTTTAACTTAGAAGATTTATTTTTGCGATGGCATTTACAAAGGTCACAGTGAAAGATCACATCATCGTACAGATGAAGACAATTGCAGGGTTCACTGTGCACACAGCCCTGCTTCTCGTTAGATGTTAAACTAATGTCAAGGGGACCATGGCTGATGAAATATGAACGAGCTGCCGTGAGGTTTAGTGAGGCCTAGATGTTGGGGAAAAAGACATGAGGCAAACAAATATTGAAGACACTACTTGGCAACTTGAAGGTGATAAAATGAAGAATAAGGCTTAAGACCCAACGGGATTTTGGAAGTTTGAGCTAAAGAGCCGCCAATGGGCAGAGGAGTTGAGAGAGATGCAGAGCCAGGGTCATAGTATTTGTTTTATACATGCTGGGGAAGTAGAGCAAAAACACCACCTTACTCCAGCAGCAACTGAATTAATTTAAGCATTTCCACAGCCCTTTGTCGAGACATTGCATGGTGATGGCTTCACCTCGCCATGTCAGTCGTGGATGTTGTTTTGACCATACTTCACCATACTGGTCAGGGCGGGTTGGTGAAGGGGATGCCCAGGACCAGTTCAGATCACTGATGTTGGTACTGTTCTTCACTGATGACACTGATGTTAGCCCCCCCCCCCCCCTTATCAGCACATAGTAAACTGTTGTGTGTTCACTAAATTTGGAGTGATGTGATATGTATTCTCTGCTTGTTTGCTGGGAGACAACGTCCCTGGGCTAGCCTGGGAGGAATATTTCCAACTGAAACACTGTGAAGGCATTCTCAAGCATGGCATTCTCAAGCATACAGATAAATAAGAATGTTATATTCACAAGAAATGTGAACTTTCAAAAGTTGATGTTAATTGGGTCTAGTGTCTGCTACAATGTCATAATTCTTATAGATTATGCAACGTAAACCCAAGTAATAGCGATGATTTATAAATTAAACTCCTATCTGGCTTAAATGTTTCACTGCTAAAGCACAGGTGTATTAAAATCTGAAATCACAAACATGTTCATAATCTCATCCCAGCATTATTAAGAGGATATGCTTGGGGTGTAATGATACATCGATTCATCAGTTTCTGCAATGTTGATTCTTAAGTTCACAATACATTCATTGCATTGCATGCCTAGGTATTGATTGTTTGATACTTGAGATGTATGAATATGAATAATGTTTCCCGTAATTACGCTTTTAATTTTTTTGCAAAAGAAACAAGTGAGTTCATTAACTTGGGACTGATGCTTGACTTGCAGGGGCATCATAGCCAGTATACTGGTGTTCCTTTGCTTTGGGGTGACACAAACAAAGGATGGACCCTTCACTCGACCTCATCCAGGTAACTACACCTCTGTGATTTTTTTTACTGTGTCATTAAAATAGTGCAAGCAGAGAAGGTGGCCCATTTTACTCATCTCCAGCTCATTCCAGTAACAATCGAGCCCGGTTACAGTTACGTTTTCTGCGAAGTGGCTGGGTTTCGTCATTCAACGAGTGCGTGATCGCCGAGCCATGCGATAGCGTCCTCGGTGGTCATGTTTAGTTGTCGTAGACCTTCGTTGAACTTGATCACTGGACAATTATCGACAATATGCAACATTGCTTGTATAGTGTCACAGCTGTAGTGTGGGTTGTCAAGAAGACCCCAACTGTGGAGGTTGGCTGCACAAAGGCCTTATACCCTGTCTGTAACCTGCTCAGCAAGGGCCACTGACAGTGGTTGAAGGTCACAGTGCTGGGTTGAAGATGCTGATATGCAGGATTCGAATCTGGGCACGAAAATAAATTTAAATAACCCTAGCAAACATTTATTGTAACTTAACATAACTTTGACCAACATTTTTTAAGTAGAAACAAGCACTTATATTTGAACATTCTTAAGTACTTTTCGGCATGTGCATCACATTTCCTCTTCTCAGACATAGCGAAAGGCGAAAAAAAATCTACATTTTAAGAAAAATTTATTTTTTTATATATATTTAAAAAAATTCTTGTACCAAGCCCTCCTTGGGCACAGCACGCAGAGTCACACTGCACTTGGAGATTTCCAAATTGATTCTTTGTCCATGACATTATGGCATTAGCGCACCAGGAATAATATTTGCAAAAAGACAAAATGTCTTTACTGGAAAGTTACTAATGCAATTTAATTATTTTACCTAAGACCAGGTAACAAGAAGCCATTGATACCAGAAATATATTTTGGAAGGGAAACCTAGGTAAAATATATATTGCAAAAATAGGGTTCTCCTGCAATAATGACCTTTAACAGTAAATGGTATGACAGTGTATCATTGTAGAGTGCTTTAATTTTTTTTTAAATAGCCTGAAACATTGTAGACATTGAACATGAATTAACAGCAAACAACAAGCAAAGAGCAGACGCCGTGACGTAACAAAGTATTGTAACAAAGTATTGTAACAAAGTATTGTAACAAAGTATTGTATCAAAGTATTGTAACAAAGTATTGTAACAAAGTATTGTAACAAAGTATTGTGCGCTGCTTAGGATAACAAATGTACTCAATTGAGCTGGGACGTAACGCCATTGGTACATATATTTTGTGGACCAGGAATAAAGTTGAGCTTGTAGTAAATCATGGGTTCTTATGCTCACGATACTTTCCAAATTGTGTGTGATTGAATAAATTATGATTTCTATTAATTCTATGATAATATATTATATGGTCAAACAACCCCTGTAACTAAATTTCGATTTAAAGCTTTCGTGCCTGCAAGGATTCATCTTCTTTGGTTCTTTCGGTAAAGTCACGTAGAATGAGAATAAAATAATAAAATAAGACAATAAAATTCTCACGACGTTTCGGCCACAACACAAGTAGCCTTCCTCAGGTGAAAGAACAGAACTGTCGGGACGACAGAGCTTGAAAAAGGAGTTCACATATCAAAGCAGGAGAATTTAGCGTGAAGAGCCTTCACACTTCTCACCGAGCTTAAAAGACGCTATGGTTTACTTTATAATAGTTGGTATTTGGAGGCCTTTAGCGTCCATATACTAAATGCCTCTGTGGATATGTAAACTTTGACTTTAACACAGCTATTTCTGTCACAAGCTAATCCCTCAGTTTTTTCAATGCTAAATTCTCCTGCTTTGATATGTGAACTCCTTTTTCTAGGCTCGCCACGCCTCTCACCGAGCTTAAAAGACGCTGCGAATCTTAGCAGCGTTAATTGAAGCTCTGTCGTCCCGACAGTTCTGTTCTTTCACCTGAAGAAGGCTACTTGTGTTGTGGCCGAAACGTCGTGAGAATTTTATTGTCTTGTTTTATTATTTTATTCTCATTCTACGTGACTTTACCGAAAGAACCAAAGAAGATGAACCCCTGTGACTAACTAGGCATGAATATTGTTGGTAGACCTTCATCCAGCATTGAATTGTGACAGACGGTTGTAAACTAACCATACTGTACATTTAGGCTAAAGAACAGTAAACATTAAACATTACAAACAGGCAGACAACGGTCACATGATTGCTCTCTTGCCCCTCTGTTATAACATGCTTACATAATGCATGTGACATTACAGCAGAGAGTGATGCTGATAAGTGTGACTTTGATCAAGGCAGGACTGGGAGGAACTGTGGCAGCCTGTCGCATGTAAACACTCCACTAGATATGCCTTGGGAATAGTGGAATTATTTATTCATGCACCTGTCCCATTTGCTCTTCATACATTAAAGCCTAAAGGGTAACGTTGTATGAAAAGTTAACTGCTGGCTCCTGGCTGAAATCCAGCCCATGTCCATCTGAATAATATTCTAAGATCAACGTTTTTTTTAGTGCACATGGACCTGATGTTATTTTCAATATATGAGTAAATATAATTAAGAGCCATTTTAAAATCCACTGCTGGATGAAGGTCTCCCCCACACCGTGTCAGTCACGGGGGTTGATTTACCCTACTTTATCATGATGAGTAATACGGATTCGTGAAAGAGACACCCAAAACCGATTCAGATTTCACTCGCCACTGACGTTAGCTGTGGCGGTGAATCCAGCTCTTGGTGTCATCGTGCTAACCACTGTGCCACCGCTCCAGCTTATGTATAGTATGACGCGTTACATTTAGAATATTTTAAGGTCAACTTACATAAACACATTGGAAGATTAAAGCAAGTTTGAAAACTGAAAGCTGGTTTTGTATTTGAAGAGTACTGTACAACATGAAAGAGCGACTGTTGATACATGCACACACATTATACGTCAAGGTAGGCAGTTCATCCAGTTATGTGAGCTGTGTTTGTACCCTTAACTGATTTCCCACAGCATTCAATACTAAGCTCATCAAAAAACATCAAATTACATGGAGCACCTGTGAACATATTTGAAGTAAAAAAAAAACATTCAGCGGTGCTTACAATAATTTAATCGTGAAGTTGTGCATCTGTTTAACTCATAATAAGCGTTTGGTAATTTCACAAGGATACTTGAACTGGCATATTTGACAGTGCCGGGGGATGGGCGTCTGTGCCTTTGCAATCATGACGCAATCTTCTTTCTCATAAATTATAACATGGATGTTTTGTCAAGACCTGGGAATTGCTGTCTGATTGATTGCAATGCGATATTTTGGCCATGTATAATTCATCGTGAATTGTGCACCGAATCCAGCATCAGCAACAGCATAGCCAGTAAATAAAGATACCCTCTGTAATGCACAGAAATTGTCGTGAAAGTAAACATTGGTTGTGCAGTATTTTGTTTGGGTGATCATGTTGCTTGGTTGAAGGATTTTTTCGAATAATTAAATTACTTTTTTCATGTGTTCTCTATTGTAATTCTTCCAGCGTATTTTCTTAATACATGAATATTCCTTTAATTGTAAAATCTGTCTGTTTTGTATTGTTCTCTAATTTGCACGTGTTAGTGTTAATTTCACTTCACTGGAATTATTCATATTTTTTGTATACATTTGCGATAATGCTGTTTGTTTAAACCAATGTCCAAATAACAAATACATGGGATGGATTAGCGGTACAAAGCATATACAGTGAGGGAAAAAAGTATTTGATCCTCTGCTTATTTTGTACGTTTGCCCACTGACAAAGAAATTATCAGTCTATAATTTTAATGGTAGGTTTATTTGAACAGTGAGAGACATGATTAACAACAACAAAATCCAGAAAAACGCATGTCAAAAATGTTATGAATGGATTTGCATTTTAATGAGGGAAATAAGTATTTGACCCCTCTGCAAAACATGACTTAGTACTTGGTGGCAAAAACCTTGTTGGCAATCACGGAGGTCAGACGTTTCTTGTAGTTGGCCACCAGGTTTGCACACATCTCGGGAGGGATTTTGTCCCACTCTTTGCAGATCTTCTCCAAGCAATTAAGGTTTCGAGGCTGACGTTTGGCAACTCGAACCTTCAGCTCCCTCCACAGATTGTCTATGGGATTAAGGTCTGGAGACTGGATAGGCCACTCCAGGACCTTAATGTGCTTCTTCTTGAGCGACTCCTTTGTTGCCTTGGCCGTGTGTTTTGGGTCATTGTCATGCTGGAATACCCACCCACGACCCATTTTCAATGCCCTGGCTGAGAGAAGGAGGTTCTCACCCAAGATTTGACGGTACATGGCCCCGTCCATCATCCTTTTGTTGCGGTGAAGTTGTCCTGTCCCCTTAGCAGAAAAACACCCCAAAGCATAATGTTTCCACCTCCATGTTTGACGGTGGGGATGGTGTTCTTGGGGTCATAGGCAGCATTCCTCCTCCTCCAAACACGGCGAGTTGAGTTGATGCCAAAGAGCTCCATTTTGGTCTCATCTGACCCACAACACTTTCACCCAGTTGTCCTCTGAATCATTTAGATGTTCATTGGCAAACTTCAGACGGGCATGTATATGTGCTTTCTTGAGCAGGGGGACCTTTCGGGCGCTGCAGGATTTCAGTCCTTCACGGCGTAGTGTGTTACCAATTGTTTTCTTGGTGACTATGGTCCCAGCTGCCTTGATCATTGACAAGATCCTCCCGTGTAGTTCTGGGATGATTCCTCACCATTCTCATGATCATTGCAACTCCACGAGGTGAGATCTTGCATGGAGCCCCAGGCCGAGGGAGATTGACAGTTCTTTTGTGTTTCTTCCATTTGCGAATTATCGCACCAACTGTTGTCACCTTCTCACCAAGCTGCTTGGCAATGGTCTTGTAGCCCATTCCAGCCTTGTGTAGGTCTACAATCTTGTCCCTGACATCCTTGGAGAGCTCATTGGTCTTGGCTTTGGTGGAGAGTTTGGAATCTGATTGTTTGATTGCTTCTGTGGACAGGTGTCTTTTATACAGGTAACAAGCTGAGATTAGGAGCACTCCCTTTAAGAGTGTGCTCCTAATCTCAACTCGTTACCTGTATAAAAGACATCTGGGAGCCAGAAATCTTTCTGATTGAGAGGGGGTCAAATACTTATTTCCCTCATTAAAATGCAAATCAATTTATAACATTTTTGACATTCGTTTTTCTGGATTTTGTTGTTATTCTGTCTCTCACTGTTCAAATAAACCTACCATTAAAATTATAGACTGATCATTTCTTTGTCAGTGGGCAAACCTACAAAATCAGCAGGGGATCAAATACTTTTTTCCCTCACTGTAGGGAATGATACAGTGGTGTACATTTATAACAAACTAAACCATTTTAATTACAAGTATATTTTTTATAAACTGTACATTTCAAAAACACTTTTTACATGGCAACTTAGAGATCCAATCGTGTTTTCTTGACCACTGTGCAGACTTCCATAAAATAGAATATTATGTTGTAAAACATTGTTTCATTCGAGTAATTTTCATAGCTTAGAGTTTATTTATTGCTAGGCTTTTCAATGCCGCAAGTATGCTTATAAACATCAGCAGCCGCTAATGTGTTTTGTGGAAAGGGATGAGAGTCTTTCCAGGACCTAATGCCATAAATAGTCATGCATTTATTCTGCCTCTGCACATATTGGTGGCACATATGTAGGATGGGCAACAACAGGAAAAGTAAAAAGTCTGTTGTTTGGAAAAATAGAAGGACCTTGGAAGAGAGGAAGACCGAAAAGAGTGGCTTGACGACATAAGAGTTTGGTGTCAAAAAGATGGGGCACTACTTGAGCATATTGGCACAAGACAGGAATGTGGACATGTGCAGTGGACACCTACAGTCCATCTGCCCATGGATTGTGATGATGCACGGATTTATATCAACCCTTACAAAAATAATTCAGCCTCTGTAATTCATTGCCATTTATATCTTAAACGTATTTTATTTTTGTAAATATGCTGCATCATTCAACATATCCTGCATCTTTGTTTGGATAAGAAACAAAGATCTAGTGATGGCATGTCTTTCCAAAATAGGGAGTACAATTGAGGGCACATGATGGGGATGGCAGCACGATTATAGCCACTGGAACAAGACATTATGGTTACAGTTGGCACAAACATAGAAACACCTTCATCCAGCAGTGGAAGGATATCTGCTGCTGTTGTTGATAATATTGATGATGGTCGTGATTGATGATGTTTGTATCCATGGCAGCGTACTGGAGATTCTGGCTCTGTGTCAGCGTCGTCTATGAACTTGGTCTCATCTTCATCCTCTTCCAGGTAATCTCATACTTCACCAAGATGAGCAGTTATCAAATGTAGCAAATTTGCTGCTTCTGCCAAACCATTATCAGAAATGGTAAAGTGTTAGTTACCATTGTATGTGCAATGCACCTTGCACTTTACAAACGTAAACATTTGTGGGGAGGGTCATCTCGTGCATGACAGCTGCAAAGGGTTTGTCAATCTGCTTTCCTGCAGGGTGCTCTACTATTCACCTGCACACCGGTCAATAATAACAATGTGCAGTGATATCCGCGTAATGTGTATTCATGAAAACAGTCAGTTGTAATCCCTTCTATGGTTCCAGGATGCGCCTCAAGTTACACATGAAAATGGTGATAAATGCTTTCGCCACCCTGAAAGGCAAATTTGGCTAAAAAGTTTAATGTGCGAGTGTTTGCGCTGCACTGTGTCTCTGAGCGTTCGTTATAAGATGCCGATCATTGGGGCTCCAAATCTAAAATAAACACCTATGGCATCTGACTGTGAGCCCCTGCCGACAGTAAGTTTAAAAATATATACGTTACATGGATGATCTCGTTTAGCCAGTTTCCAGGCTTTTTACAAGGGAGATCAGTGGTGCGTAAGCACAGCAGCAACAAGACAAAGACAAACATCAATATTGCAGAGAGCTAGTACAGGTTCATATTCTTAGTTCTTTCGGTAAAGTCACGTTTAAGGGAAACAACAAAATAATAAAAAATATATAAAACAATAAAAATTCTCACGACGTTTCGACCATAACACAAACGGTCGTCTTCACACCTGAAGACGACCGTCTGAAGACGACCGTTTGTGTTATGGTCGAAACGTCGTGAGAATTTTTATTGTTTTATATATATTTTATTATTTTGTTGTTTCCCTTAAACGTGACTTTACCGAAAGAACTAAGAATATGAATTACTGCAGTCACGAAAGCTTTAAATCAAAATTTAGTACAGGTTCCTTTAGGAATATTTTGAAACTTACAAATGAGGTATTTAAACAAGCTCGGGGCCCATAAGAGATTAAGAGGCCCTGGATTTATGATGAAATTGGTTTATGCCAAAACTAACTGAGATTCATATAATAGAAAAAAAAGTTCATAATTATAATAACAATATTAAAATCATTGTCATTTTAATTCGCCTATTCAATAAGAATAAGAAGCAGAATATTATACTGGAGGAATCCGATGACCATATCAAGCTCTTTTTCACACATGTCCAGTTGGGTCACCATACAGCTTTGGTATACTGTAATTAATTATATCATGTAGATTGTAGTCTTGGGAAATACTGAGAAGGTTATTTGTTCACGAACCCCAATGGGCAAGCACTGGTTTCAGCCCAAGCCTTTATTATTTCAATGATGATGCTGAATCTCTGGGTCAGGCTTACTGGTTGGAGCTTACAGTGAGGGAAAAAAGTATTTAATCCCCTGCTGATTTTGTACGTTTGCCCACTGACAAAGAAATGATCAGTCTATCATTTTAATGGTAGGTTTATTTGAACAGTGAGAGACAGAATAACAACAACAAAATCCGGAAAAACGCATGTCAAAAATGTTGTAAATTGATTTGCATTTTAATGAGGGAAATAAGTATTTGACCCCCTCTCAATCAGAAAGATTTCTGGCTCCCAAGTGTCTTTTATACAGGTAACGAGCTGAGATTAGGAGCACACTCTTAAAGGGAGTGCTCCTAATCTCAGCTTGTTACCTGTAAAAGACACCTGTCCACAGAAGCAATCAATCAATCATATTCCAAACTCTCCACTATGGCCAAGACCAAAGAGCTCTCCAAGGATGTCAGGGACAAGATTGTAGACCTACACAAGGCTGGAATGGGCTACAAGACCATTGCCAAGCAGCTTGGTGAGAAGGTGACAACAGTTGGTGCGATTATTTGCAAATGGAAGAAACACAAAAGAACTGTCAGTCTCCCTCGGCTTGGGGCTCCATGCAAGATCTCACCTCGTGGAGTTGCAATGATCATGAGAACGGTGAGGAATCAGCCCAGAACTACACGGGAGGATCATGTCAATGATCTCAAGGCCGCTGGGATCATAGTCACCAAGAAAACAATTGGTAACACTACGCCGTGAAGGACTGAAATCCTGCAGCGCCCGCAAGGTCCCCCTGCTCAAGAAAGCACATATACATGCCCGTCTGAAGTTTGCCAATGAACATCCGAATGATTCAGAGGACAACTGGGTGAAAGTGTTGTGGTCAGATGAGACAAAAATGGAGCTCTTTGGCATCAACTAAACTCGCCGTGTTTGGAGGAGGAATGCTGCCTATGACCCCAAGAACACCATCCCCACCGTCAAACATGGAGGTGGAAACATGCTTTGGGGGTGTTTTTCTGCTAAGGGGACATAACAACTTCACCGCATCAAAGGGACGATGGATGGGGCCATGTTCCGTCAAATCTTGGGTGAGAACCTCCTTCCCTCAGCCAGGGCATTGAAAATGGGTCGTGGATGGGTATTCCAGCATGACAATGACCCAAAACACACGGCCAAGGCAACAAAGGAGTGGCTCAAGAAGAAGCACATTAGGGTCCTGGAGTGGCCTAGCCAGTCTCCAGACCTTAATCCCATAGAAAATCTGTGGAGGGAGCTGAAGGTTCGAGTTGCCAAACGTCAGCCTCGAAACCTTAATGACTTGGAGAAGATCTGCAAAGAGGAGTGGGACAAAATCCCTCCTGAGATGTGTGCAAACCTGGTGGCCAACTACAAGAAACGTCTGACCTCTGTGATTGCCAACAAGGGTTTTGCCACCAAGTACTAAGTCATGTTTTACAAAGGGGTCAAATACTTATTTCCCTCATTAAAATGCAAATCAATTTATAACATTTTTGACATGCGTTTTTCTGGATTTTTTTGTTATTCTGTCTCACTGTTCAAATAAACCTACCATTAAAATTATAGACTGATTATTCCTTTGTCAGTGGGCAAACGTACAAAATCAGCAGGGGATCAAATACTTTTTTCCCTCACTGTAACTCTGATGTTACGAACCGCTCATAATGACGCTCTTCCCACAGAACGTCAAATGCACACGGTTTAAAAGCATGGCAGGCACTTAAGAGTGAATACTGCCTACATTGGGTAATTGATGCTATTGTCTCCTTTGTTGTGTTCATCCAAACGTAAGGTCTAAGAAATTAGTGCTATGAGCTTGCTTTTGAAAAATGACAGCGAAAGCCTGATTGCGTGCATTTACTGCCACTTACACGTTTGTCAGAAGACCAATGTTTACTTGTGGAAGTTTTTTTTGGCCAAACTCTATTTGTTGATTATTTTTGTTTTCTAAATTGTGTTTATGCTATCAAATAATGTATTTTCTGTGCAGACATTGATGACTGTACTGAAGCTCTACACTTGACACCCCAATTTAATAATTGGTAGCTGCCATGATCTCTGTGCTCCGACCCATGAGCCACCCAGCCACCTCTACTTTAATGATTTTATGCTTTTAACAATTAATTGGGGCCTTGACTCATATGTAGTGGCATACTCTTTATATTTCATTACAGGACTTCCTTTACACCTAGATGACCTTTGATTACCTGACCCTGATGGCAGGTCAGCTGGGTCTTAGTACAATATTACCCCATCAGCAACCTTTCCTTATAGTACCGGTTCAATCAAAGGCCCGGCAACTGCTTGTGTGACACATCTAATATCAAGCTGGTGATATTTCCAACTGCCAGTCTCCACCATGTGCCAGGATATATCAACTCGGTTAACCCCTGCGTGCGTGGAATTTTCAACGTGTTGACTGAGTCCTACCGTTGAGTACAGCGTGTGCCTCTATGTGTCTGGACGCACAACAGTTTATTTTTAAATCCCTTTTACGGTCACCACTTGTATGCATGGTGTTCGTGCTGTTTTGGCAGCGGTTGTTCGACAGCAGCTCTTGCTGGGTAAATTGTGCCTTGTGAAGTCCGTACCTTTAGCAGCAAAGGGGCCTTTAATGTTGATGAGACAATGTGCTTCATCAATAATTCACGCTCTTTCCTACACTCTGGTTTAAACTGCCTTGAGACCAGTTTCCCTCGCTCCATCTATCATCCCCTGCTTCCTGTAGGCAGCATGTTACCTGCAGATATGCCTGCAACGTGTTTACGTTTGCCTTATTTTAAAACGATGAATATGATCTTGTTCATTCTTGTGAATCACAAATAAATTGCACTCGACTTACTGAAAGCTAAAACTCGTGTTATAAACGACGATTGATAAGTAAATGAGATGCATCAGGCCTGTTCTTGCATTTGCCATTCCAGCTTTGATAATTATCTGACTGCCCTTCATAAAACATGGCAAGGGCACATTCACCAGTTGACAAATCTACCCAATGTTTCAGAAACAGTTTCTGGATAAACTCGCCCAGGTTCACGTGATGGCATGAACGGACAATTGAGTCACTTTTCATCACTTTTCTCCAAAAATGTTTTCGACATAAAAAAAGACAGCCTTATGAAGAGATAATCTACAGTTGCGGCACATGTGGATCTGCAGATCTCTCCACATCGTTGTTCTTTGCAACATCGCTACCTGCAGCCCACATTCAGGCGGCATCGGGGTTTTTTTCCCACGTGGAAATATTTAAAAAGTTAACACAGTCCCTCTCATGTCATTATTATTTTATTTTCATCACAGTTGCTGGGTACAGTCCCACAGGCCCAAAACATCAAGTGGCCAGCAACAAACGGCTCTATCAAAGTTATAATAGATACGACTTAATGTGTTTCTTGAATGAAGCGAGGTTATATGAACTTGGGAAATTGGCTCTCTGGCAATTGCACAGGACAGCACTGAACTTTAGGTTACATTTTTTCATCTAATCTTATTTCTTTGCTTCAAATTAGTGCCTTTTTATTCCTAAATAAACTTCTTTAGGAATATTTTGACCAGTCAGCCAGGTGATTCTAAAAGAAAACCTGACATTCTTGGTGATTACCTCTTCAGTTGCTGCCAAGCATCTAAGGTCAGTCAAGGTCAAGTTTCATATTCATGTGCAGGTGATGATTGTGTGCTTCTTGATTGTGGTTTGTGCCTACTGCTCTCTTCCAGTCGGTGAATGACGGCCGACAGTTCATGAAGTTTATTGACCCACGGCTGGGAGTGCCTCTGCCAGAGCGGGATTATGGTGGAAACTGCCTCATGTACGACCCAGATAATGAAGAAGATCCCTGGCATAACATCTGGGTGAGACTTGGAGAGATAAACTCACCAAATTCTCTGCTTTAATAAATCCTCTGCTTTTATACCACTGGGATGATTTTGAAAATGTCCAATGCTTTAAAAAAATATATATTTTTTAGGGATATTGCATAACCTGACATTTTTTTTGTAAAATGTATTTTTAGAAAATATCCATCACATGACTGTGCTCTGCATTATTTAGCGTTCACGCTCAAACCAGATGAAATAATGAACATTATTTGGTGATACTGCGTTGGCAGTGGTGCACAAGCAAAAATACAAAAAAACATAATTCAAGTCATTCGTTCATAATATGGCCTTAAAAAGGGAGAGTATATAAGTGGCGATGTTTCGGGCAATGGCCCTTCTTCACAGCACATGGAGAGGCCACTCCACCACTCCACCACTCTATCTCTCTGCCCTCTGTGCATGCTGTAAAGAAGGACCATTGCCCAAAATGTCACCTCGCATATACTTTTTGTCTTTTTAATGCAGTGTTATTGATGAATGTGGTGAAATGAAATAGGCATTTTAAGAGAGCAGCCCTTTTTGAATGAAGACCTTTTTCACGTTGATTTACAGGGAAAACGTGCTTCATCTAAAATGCAATTATACGAATTAAATTTCAAGTGCTAATTAATTTGGCAGCTTTGACATCCTGTAAAGAAAATGTCTTGAAGAATAATTGAAAGGAATTATAATGATGTTTGTTTTTTTTTATGCAGGATAAGTTGGATGGCTTTGTACCTGCTCATTTCATCGGCTGGTGCTTCAAGGTGGGTCATTCGCAGCTCACATCCGATGGGCGGATCTCGTCAAGGGGTTGACGTTGCATTTTTGTACAGACTCACGTAAGCGCCCTGTGCCTCTGATCTCGCACAGACGGTGATGATCCGCGACTGGTGGATGTGCATGATCGTGAGCGTCATGTTCGAGTTCCTGGAGTACTCCCTGGAGCACCAGCTGCCCAACTTCAGCGAGTGCTGGTGGGACCACGTATGTACCGCCCACAAGTAGTACCTCTTGTTTAACACGTGTTCTGTTTTTAGCCCGTAATCATATTTTTCACGAAAGATACCTTTTTACTGAACGCATTTGCAAAGCACCCTTTGGCCTTCCCATATGTGCAGATTTGTAAGTTGTGGATTATGATGTCGGTGTGCATGTACACACCTTTTGTCAATCCACTGCTAAATGAGGACCCCTCCCCAAGCTGTCATCTCTCGTGGTCTCGCAATGTAAAAATCCACATGGCACCTGTACATCCTTGAGGTGGACGTCCCCTCAAGTACACACATGTCCCCTTCCTTGACCGCCACTCCTTCATCATTCCCAACCAGATTGCATGCATTGCCACGTGTTAAACGCGTGCTCTGTTTTTGTTGAAATTTCAAAAACGGACTCCTTTGCTAAGCTCTTTCGCAAGGCAGCCTTGTCATCTATGGAGAATTGACAGTTGTGGATTTTCTACCTGTACAGCCGTTTTGGCAATCCACTGCTTAGTTGAGGGCTTGCGCACACCGTGCAGGTCGTAGATGTTATATGACCATACTTCACCACGCTGGTCAGTGTGGGTTGGTGAAGGTTGGGGGGGTATCATGGACATGGGAGTGTAGAAGTACAGTAGAGCAATAGATGTTGCTGCACTGCCCTCTGCTGTGGATAATTTTGTAGGGACATGTAAATATATTTGTCACACCATGATCATCTCTTTGACTGTATTGACATACCAACCATTGATTTGGATGACAATATAAATTTACCACTTTACTACTTATGTTAACGCGCAGCATTTGTTTTCAGCAGGCAAACTTTGGACCGATTTTCACATTTTGTGGTCTCGTCAAAAATTCTGGATGTTTTGGCCTGATACAGAAAAAAGGGAGAGATGTGTTTACTTAATGATTTACCAAGAATGTTCCACCAAAACGCATTATTTTTTTAATTACATATGTAGCGGCAGGGTATCGGCTGGAAGGGGCCGATACCCCTTTGTGCCAGGGACCTTGTGTTACTGTTGTTAGAAATAAACGTGTTGCCTCCAGAGAAGACTTGGTTTCCATCCTTACCCACTACACATGTAAAATATTGCTTTATAAACTGACGGCCGCCCCACCGTGACGGTGGAGTGCTTTTTCTGATAGCATCTGGAAAGCCAACAGTGCTTGTTTAACAAACCGGACTGCTGATGAGACCAAAACATTTTTAAACCAGTGTAGGCAAGAATTTCCTTTCTTCAACCAATGCTGATGGTTCATATATGACTAGAATGCCAGAAGAGGGTTAGACTGTAACATATTTTATTTCTGTGTGGAGATAAAGAACTGCGGAAAATTACACATGTTTACGCTCCGCATCAGTGCGTGATGAGTTTTTTTTTTACTGTAATTAGTTTCATGTCTTTAATAATGTTCCAAAAGGTTATTATTGTGCTGAACATCAGACCTGTAAGTTTGCTGGGCAGAAGGGGGAGTTGATTGATACATTAATTGCTGTGTGGAAAACAACAAGCTGAAATTTCACTCAGTTGGGGCACTTATGAAGAAATATTTCTTTTAAAATAGAAAAATTAATGACAAAGACATTTTCAATTGTATTTTTTCTTTTATTTATTTTCTGGTACAAAGATAAAATAATTATACATCAAGTAAAAGACAGCTTCTATTGTCGCCAAATAATGTATGTTTTTTCCAATCTCATCACCTATTGTATTAAGTTTCTGACCTGTCCTTCCTGGATTCCACCAGGATAAATCAATATTCTGATTCTGATTAATAGATTGTCATCTGCAACAGTAGGACATGTGTCTGTTTAATCAACTTGGCATTCTTGGAAATAGTTGTTCATAAATGGAAGGTACAATGTGTCGGAATAACATAGTCAGCTTCCTTGGCTTGTTTCAGTATATTTAGTTTTTTTACCATTCATTTTGAAGACGTTTTTAATCAGTGATGTGTAGAGGGTGACTGAACCGTTGTTTATGTGAGTGATGAGTGGAGTTTCTCTCTTGTCAGTGGATCATGGATGTGATTCTGTGCAATGGGCTGGGCATCTACTGCGGGATGAAGATTTTGGAGTGGCTGTCCATGAAGACATACTCTTGGCAGGGGCTCTGGTGCATTCCGACCTACAAGTGAGCTCTCGCCAGAATGTGATTTACGTGTTTGTGTACGTGTAGAGCAGTGGCGTAGTGATTAATGCACCGCACTACAAACCCAGCGACCCGAGCTCGATTTCCATGGCTAACTGAAGTGGTGAATATTTTAACTGGTCCTGGATCTCCCCTAGGTCGACTCCACCTTAATTTAGTATCATAGGGGCGCCACGGTCGCGAGATATTTACTACCTCACTTGGTATATAGGAGGTCGTGGGTTCGATTCCGACCCTGAAGTCTATATATTTTGAGTTTGCGTGTTTTCCCTGGGGTCGCAATAATTTTTCTCCAGGTACTCCGGTTTTCCCCCCCACATTTAGAAACATGTGTTTTAGAGTATTTGGCTTCTATACATTTCCAAATGATAAGACACCTTGTTGAGCTATCATTTGTGGCCAGGTCGCTTGTGAAAATGAGCTATATAGCTCAGTGGGCCTTTCCTGGTAAAATAAAACGTTTTAATGGTTTATAGCTTTTGCAGTTTATATACATGGTGCTGCCCACACTTCCCCCATTTATGCTGTCCTCACTAACATGCAGTACACACATACATACATACGAAGCAAATAATCTTTGTGTATAGAAGATGAGCATCTGCATTGACAGCCAAATAGTCGGTAAAAAAGTGGCATTTCTGCGACTTTTGCCAAGTTACTCGAGTTATCATGGAAGTAGTGCAGGCCTTTCTCAGCATTACTTCCAAAAAATACTTTCCCAGATATAATTCTGATTAAAGTTGAAGACCGAGTTACAGAATTAAAGGTGCAATGTTAAATGTCAGGTTAAAATGGAAAATAATATGGTCCTTTCACCATCGACATTTTTTATTGTGACAAGGTTTTAGTCATGTATTTCCACTCAGCCTGTATGTATGTTGAACTTCTTTCGCACCATATATAGCCAACCATGCTAATCGGAGGTGTAATGTGTGAAATTCAGGTCAGCCCACGGACAAAAATGTAACTGGTATATTCAGGCTGCAGCTTGAAATGACAGCCAACATGGAAACGTGGTGCTTTGGTGAGGCGGGGGGGGGGAGGGGCAACTCGTGTACCTAAATGGAGTTCCGTGGCTCCACGGGAATGCGGTATGACAAGTGCAGCACGTGCATGAGTGCCCGCGTGTGTGCCGGTGCGAGTCGTGTACGTTCTGCTGCCGGCGCGTGTGTGCTCGCACAGGGGTAAAATCAAGCGCATGGCGTTTCAGTTCACGCCATACAGCTGGGTTCGTTTCGAGTGGAAGCCGGCCTCGAGCCTGCAGCGCTGGCTTGCCGTGTGCGGCCTCATCTTCATGGTGAGCCAGTGCCTGCCCACGTGCATTCTGTCACCACTGAGTTGTAAACAACAATACCAGGGCTGCCGGGTGGCCCTGCGCTTCCTGCATTCACCTTTGACCTCACGGTCGAGACGGAGGTTCAAATCCAAATCCAACGTCTGTCTCCACTCCAATCTCAACGTTAAGTTCTTCTTGGTGGGTGGTCGTCATTTATTTTTTTCAGCTCCCATAGTCTGGCCCTGCCTTCCGCCAGCCGTATCACTGACTCCCTTATCTTGTATATATGTGTGTGTGTTCATTTGCATGTTCATGTGTCTGTCTGTGTGTGTGTGTCTGTAACCATGACCAGTGATATCTGAACCGGCTCCGAGCCTCCCCTAGGTCAAATCGGTGTTAAATTAGTGCCTGGTATATAAACATCAGCACTGGCCCCTGATAGGTGCTCGCTAACAACACTTGTCCCAGCAGTCTATAAATCTGCACGGAGAATCATTGTCATTGCGTTTGCGTGCACTGATTGCCACAGTTCCTTCTCGCCGAACTCAACACGTTCTACCTCAAGTTCGTGCTGTGGATGCCTCCCGAGCACTACCTGGTGCTGCTGCGCCTCATCTTCTTCGTCAACGTGGGCGGCGTCGCCATGCGCGAGGTCTATGACTTCATGGATGATCCGTGAGTCCACGCCACACCGTGGGCCTCTTGTCCTCCACTCTCTTGCCTTCTCTGACATTCTTTATCCTTCTCACTGTATTGATGCACGCAACAGTATTGTTCGTTGGGTCAGGTTGCGCGCAATCGTATGACTGTGGCTTAAATTTGGCAATGTCGTGACGGATGGCACACGTTCCGTGGCTTTGAATTCAGTGTCCGATTCGCTCACGAGTGTGGCATGTGGTGGCTCGTGCCATCGCTTTCTTTTGAGGGCAGTTCCTCGCCACAACCGCAAGCTGTGTGGGGAAATCCAATGCAATGTGGGGTTTTTTTTGTATAGGATTTATACACTTTTGTAAATACGACCGCATATCAAGACACCATACAGAAATAGTCGGCATAGTCATTTTTTTATGGAGATGGCAATGAGTCGTAGAAAAATAAGGCATTCAGCCTGGACTTGAACAGAGACAGAGAGTTGACAGCATGGATGGTTGGGAATGGAGTTTCGGACTATTGGGGTAGCAGAAGTGAATGAATGACCTCCGACAGGGAAACTTTTACTAGGAGCTTCAATGGAAGGACTTGGTTTGCTGGACTGTTGAGTACGTGGAGGGAGCTAGAATGAGATGAATATGAGATAAGTAGGAGTGAGCCCATTGAGGATCTTGAATACAGTGACTGTGACCTTGAACTTTATTAGGGATTGGATTGGAAGCCAGTGGAGGGATCGGAATATTGTGGCCATGCTTACGGGTGCGAGTGAGAAGTCTGGCAGTGTCACCATGCCCTTCCACGTCCTTCCCTCCCCAGGAGATTCAACAAGAAGCTGGGCCAGCAGGCGTGGCTGGTAGCTGCCATCATCGTCACCGAGTTCCTCATCGTGCTTAAGTACGACACGGTCACAATCCTGAAGCCACTGCCCTTCTACGTGTCGCAGCTGTGGGTGTGCGGCCTCCTCGGCATCCTCGCCTGGACTGTATGGCGCTTCTTCATCAGGTGCGGGAACGCGCACGCGTGAACGCATGAGCACCCACGCCGTCTCACGCATTCGGGCCGCGTGACGTTCACCTGTGACCGCGTGGGTTGGGGCATCCTCTGGAAAGGACAGACCAGTGATCGACTGGCCGTGTTTCTTAATGTCAACAAGTGGTGTGAGGCAATCAGTTTAGCTTTGATTTGCATGGGTAGGCTGTCCACGTACAGAGTGTCTACCAAGTCCCAATACAATTAACAGGATGTGGCTCCAACAGCCGCCTCGAACCGTGTTGCACAATGAGACCCCAAACTATGGCTTAGGTTTCAGCTCTGCCACGACAATAATGGAATACACATACACATCCTTACAATTTAGCGTTGGACAGATGCTGTTAATTATATTGGGACTTGGAACAGTCTTTGCATTTGTCAATTCATTGTTGGATGATGGCCTAGCCACGCAATGCAAGTCCTGGAGAGTTATTTGACTACGCCACCATGTTGGCCAGTGCAGGCTGTTGAAGGCAGGGAGCCATTGACATTGAAACATTGGATGTGGCCGCACTGCCCTCTGCTGACAACGTATGTGACTTTCATTTTCCTGCCCCTACTGGACATCTGTGACCCACCCCGACTGGACATGTGTTTAAAAGAGCTTCATAGCTCATCATGGGGGACCTCCTTTGCCAGTAATAAAATATGAGAATAGGTTTTCTCCTTTTTTGGCAACAAAACAGCTGTGTTAAGATGTTAAAACACCAAACTGAAACCTTTTACAAGGAATCATGTCTGCATTAACCACAATACTTGTGGTCAGAATGCAAACAAAAAACACACTCTGACAAATATATGCATTGTCTATGAAACTGATTGGTCCACACCTTTGCCAGTACCAAAATATAATATCATATTTTTGGACTGGCAAAGGAGGTCCCATGATGTAGCTGCTCACCCCGAGCTCTCATTACTCTGATAGTGCATTGTCTTTGTGCTGTTTGCCTTTTGGCGTCCTCTGGTCTAACACCGTTTGAGACGAGGCTCAAAAGAAAGCTGTCTCTGGTGTGGACCAGTCAGTTTAAAAGACAATGCATAGATTATCAGAGTGTGTTTATTGTTTGCAATCTGACCACAAGTATTGTGGTTGATGCAGACATGATTCCTTGTAAAAGGTTTCAGTTTGGTGTTTTAACATCTTAACACCTGTTTTGTTGCCAGAAAAAAGGGGAAAAACCTATTCTCAGCTTCATAGCTCATCACATTCCTCCAGTCTAAATAATAATGTTCAAACACCACGTGAATGTTTAACATATAGGCTTTCACGACCAATATTATCCATAATAGAGGTTTATTGGTTAGATCGCGTAAATATAAATGTGTCGTTAAACCCGCCACCATCCGACACAGCCAATTAGTAAGGTTTGTCACGTGAACAAAACATACCTCGAAGACCGAAACAGGAGAGGATTTCTCCACAACTCTGGCTGTCGCTTGACGATGCTAGTTGTAGTTACTGGCGAAACGTCGTACTCGAATTGTTAATTTGGGTTTACGCTCAAATACACCGGTGTGCTGTACTAGAAACGAATTGGCACGTTCTGTTTACATGACAAACCTTACTAATTGGCTGTGTCGGGTGGTGGCGGGTTTAACGACACATTTATATTTACGCGATCCAACCAAAAAATGTCTAATAAGGACCATGTGAATGTAATATAATGCTCGCCTTGATACTGCAAGTGTAAAGTGAAAGCTTTTTCATATAAAATATTTGTCCATCGCATAAATATGTAACTTGCATATCAGAAAAAAAATTATATTCCCATAGTTGCTTTATCTTTGTTTCTGTTGAGGTTATAATCGAAGTAAAATTGCATTGGAACAGGAAAGCTACATTTGGTGGAATAAACAGTCGGCATTAATGGACAGAAAGCGGCAGGATATGTCACGCATTCAATGACGATGGCATTGAGTACTGGTCGTTTATTCTTCTTCACTCAAAGGGACGTGAAAATGAAATGCCGGGAGATCCGGGCGCAGCACGAGGAGACTCTGAGGAAGCAGGAACGAGGGGAGCTCAACGCCAGCGACACCGCGAGGAGCAATGCCGCTTCCCTTTCCGTCGACTTCTCCCAAGCGGAGCGCCGGGCGGCCAGCGCTATGCAGACGGCCACCGCCACGACCACCACAGTCAGCCGGCGGCGGAAATAGAACACTGGCACAGAAACGTAGCTTCCTGCGTGGCTGGGCCCCAGCTCTGCTCTCTCCGTGGAGCTCCTTGTATGAGCAGCTTTTTTGAGAAATTGCCCAGAAACAACAAGAAATTAAAATTGGTCTTCCCCCAAATACTGTTGCGGTTTTACGAATCGGGAACGCGAGTTTGTGAACCGCCACGTGTGGCCGTGATCGTTGGTGAGCACTGTCGTGACTGCACGTGCGCTACTGGCGGCCTTGTGTACGTGAAGCTTGCGATTGCATTGCCCGGTAGCGTTCGCTGTTTCCTGCCGCCGAGGGCTACGAGCTCAGGAATGAGCACTAGTTTTGTTGAAGCCATGGCAGGTTGCCACGGCTCACGTTTTCTTTCGCCACTCGCCCCACACGATGGTTGCGAGCGTGACCTGGTCGGGTGGACTTAGCTGTTGGCCTCGCTACAGGTGCCCTCAGAGAAAACGTACACAAAGTATTCGCGTTGTTATCGAGTCACAGAGCAAAATTAACGGTTTGCTGTAAGCCTTTAACGGTCACTGATCAAGTTAATTTTATTACAGCACGTGATTGTTGATTATGAATGTCGATGTTAGCCGTGTGCTTGGTATAGTTTTAAATAATATTTGGTGCCGTAATTCAATATCGTTTTAGGCCGCAACCTGTGGATTTGCTTTACCGTTGGTAATGTACAGCAGTGATGTGCAGCAGGAACTTTGCCTTAGAGTCATGTGATCGTACAGCAGTGTATTTCCAATTAACTTGTGCCTCACACTTGGATATGGTTATATATCGACATGTGAGACTTTAACATTTAATTCATGTATTCACAGTCAAACAGCTGTAATGGGTTTTCTATTTCTTTCGAAGCAAACAATTGGGAGCATGGTTTAATATGTCATTGCAAATGCTTGTGCGACATTACCAGATGTATCCTTGATTGTTAAGAGAGTGAGACATTACATAACTGCAGAGATTGCAGTTGATTCAGTGTGCTGATTTTACAAATAATTTAGTTATGAATTTATGATTGGCCCCTGTGCAAATAGACATGTGGCTGTCCTCTGTCTCTATCGGAGATCTTGAACCAGTGTTGGAAATTCCATATATATGGCAGGAATCGTAGAATACCCACTGTAGGCTTCCCAATGGGTAGTTAGTGCGGACTCCAGGTGGTGTGTATTGCACTCACCCCAGATCGACGATGATGTTGATGATAGCCGAAACAAACATTGCAGTTACAAATACCTTGATATTCACAGAAGTATTTTTTATAAAAAAATGTATTTCCTGTGGAGTGGTTGTACAGTGATTAGCACACTTCACTGAACTTGGAAACCTGAGTGCACAGCTAACGTCGGTGGCGAGAGATATCTGAAACAGTCCTGTCCCGCCCCAAACTCCCTCCCTTCAAACTGCACTGACCGGCGTGGTGAAGTATGGTTAAAAAACTTCCACGACCAAAAGGCATGGGGAGGGCCTTTTTCAACAGTAGGTTGACAAAGGGCTGTACATTATTATTGTTAATATTCTGTAACAGTTAAATGTAACAGATATAAATGGGCAGAGACTCACGGTTTTAAATGCAATGCAATTAAAACTCTTGTTCGTAGTGGACATCGCAAAAACGAATACCAAGCCAGCAGTGTTATTTGGGGTGCCACGGTGGCGAGATGTTAACTACCTCACCTGGTATACAGGATGTCGTGGGTTGGTTCCCGATCCTGATGCCTGCTATATATTTGGAGTTTGCATGTTCTCCCCGTGGTCGCATGGGTTTTTCTCTCGAGTCTTCTGGTTTTTCTCTCCACATTTAGAGACATGCTTTTAGAGTATTTGGCTCCTATAAAATTCTACATGATAAGACACTTCGTTGAGCTGAAAAAGAGCGATATAACTCACTGGGCCTTACCTGGTGAGATAAAATATAGTTTAGTTTTAGTTCACTTGTTGGTAACCTGAATTCCATTGAAAGCCATGGAGAATTATCACAAAGACATGCAAACCTTCTAAATTGGACTCAAAAATATACAAACCAAATTCTTGACAAGTTTAGTTTTCCTGGGAATTATATGAATGAGAAGAGTGAAACGAGTTCTGTTTTAGGAGTGTGACTTAGCAACCAGAGGCTGGTTATGTTGTGTGGGCCAAGCATCAAATCACCACAGCGTCTATTCAACAGGGAGCGTTGAGCTTCATTGAATTATTTTATTGTTTCCCTTCAACGTGACTTTACCGAGAGAGCTAAGAATATGAATTACTGCAGTCACGAAAGCTTTAAATCAAAATTTATGTACACCTGTTCCAATTTCCACAGCGGTCGGTCACCAGACTTCATCTTAATGAGCTCCGAATAGAGGGCCCTCATCTCCTTTCGCAAATCTTGATGCCTATGGAGCCAGCTTTCTGCATCTTGAGTGTTTTACTAGATTATGATTTACGGTAATATTTTGGATGCTGCTGTGGTGTAATCGTGAGCACACATTTGGTCTCCCCAGCATGGCAGTTGAAGCAATGAGAACATTGTCTTAAATCTTTCCACCTTTGTCCACTGACAGACAGATCGAGTGCGGTTGGGTAAAGTGTGGGTATCTCCACCTCTTCTAAGATGTCCAGCCAGCATGGAAGAGTCGACAATAATAACTTCAAGAGATTATCTGCAGAGATCCCTTGAGTGGAGATCGATATATCCCCTAGAGTGGCGTGAGAAAGCAATGGCAGGGCTGCACCGTTACCTTTTACAGTAAGTTTCATCTTAACTTTCAGTCTCCATTTCAAAGGAAATTAAAATTTTGAATTGGGTGGTGGCTATGCACCCCTGTAATCCAGCACTGTGGAGGAAAGGGTTGGTGGATCGCGCGCATGTTATGAAACTCCCTTTCTGGAGGCAGTATAGCAAGTGGACTATTTGTTTCATCTCTACATAGATAGAGTGTTGCCCCCTCGCACAAGTGGGGTTTCTCCGGGTGCTCTGGCTTCCTCCCACGTGTATGAACGTTAATTGGTTGAAAACATCTTACATTAAAAAAACAACGCAGGACCCTCCTGAAAATGAGTCCTATGACTCGGTGGCTTTCCTGGATAAATAAGTATTCAAATATTAGCTTTCCATTGGTATACATTGGATAACTGGTACAATGTGTTTACTTGGGGTATAACGATTAATCGACTAGTTGATTAATGTTGAGTGTTAAGCTCACGATACACTCTTTTTATCGGTGTGTGTTGTATACAATGTGTTCACGTGACCCCTCAAGCCACAAGTGGCTGCGACTTTCAACACACTGTATAAAAAGAAGTGCGACCCTGAACAACGACCTTCAGATTCCCATGGGGGAGTGCGTGTGATTCGTTGCACTCGCGCATTTTACCACGCAAATTCACACCTGTTGAACGATAATTTGATCAAACACTGTTGAAGATACGAACTGCCAATGCACAGGTAATAGATTTATAAAAATGTGTTGGCCTACTATAATTTTAACTTATGAAATCTTTATTTGGTAAAAACACATTGATGCAGCAATTGGCGGGTGATAACCTGAAATTATGTTGCATAATTGATGGGTCTTGCATTTCGTATGCTTCGTTACCTTCATCAGATGTGTTTGCAAATTCACACTTCGAACGATGCCTATGAATTACCGTGTAATGACTAGGCAAATATATTCTGACTGTCCAGATGTTGCCTTGTAGCAGTAATAATTGTTTGATTTAAGAACAGAAAATTTACCCAGTAATCATCATTGTTTAATTTTTCTGTTATTAATTCTGTTGATGTCTGCGTCAATGTTGGCCTCAAAAGTCCCTATCCCTGTTAATGTGTTGAACTATATACATTTAGAAAAAAATATTTGTAGACTTTATTAGAGCAATTCCGATGCAGGTCGTTGTGTAACATATTGGTAATATATTTATCATTCATTGAGTTTGAAGAGGAATTGCAATAACGAAGATTAAGTCCATAAATTATGCATATTTTATGTTTGGCACCAAAACATAATTATTTTACTTTTTAGCCATGTGCAGTTTATTTGTGTTGAGCAAGTGTGCACGTGCTTTGTTGTGAATGCAGTGTAATGATCTGGTGTACGATCAGCTCTCAGTCACCATAGATGTGGGCACTCATAAAAAATATATATAGTTGACCATTATGTACACGCGTTGCCCCACATTGTGTTCAATTTGTTGATGCGCAACTGCAAGCCACTGGGGCTAAAACCAGTCAGAATTTTCCCTATTAAATAAATGGGCACTGTTTGAAATATTGTTTTGAACACTTGGATATTCAGACAACAGATCGGGAACCATACGTTTGTACGGTAAATTATAGCAGATTCACAAACTCTCTAACGTTTTCCTTGGACACAAAGTGTCTAAATCTGGTTCATACTGGATGCTTTAACATTCCTCAACATGTCCACATTGATCGTAGTGCGCACTTAGATGTTACATACACAGTGAATCTAAAATCAGTATGGTTTCTGACTTTTGCTGCACCGTTTGTGTTATTGGAAACCCCACAATCCCTAAAAGGGCCTTGACAGTCCTGCCAGGTTCTGTATTTGCGATTTGAAAGAGTTTATATTAGTTGCAAATGCATTAATGTGGTTGAACACTTGAATCTCAAGCTGTGCCACCTCTTGCCATTGTTAATGTTTTTTGAAATCGAAAAAATCAAGAGAATACATCTTAAATCTCATGGTTCGTTGCTTGTGGTCATTGTTTTGTCTTTACCCTGCAATTGCTTTCATGATGTTGACATGTCGTGATATGAAGAATCCAATCGAAAATCTCAGCGTGCGGTCGATCTGATGATGAACATCCCACCGAATAGATTTTTTCACAGAACTGAAAAATCATACATACGGTACTGTACAGAATGTTTTTGAAAGATATTTGACCTGGAATTTAGTCAAATCAAGTCCAAACCATAATTTAACATGGTATGAGCTGGATATAAGCACACCCCTTGGGAACAAGTCCAGGTCCACATCTGAAGTGTGCTCGCAACATGTTGCCCATCACCTTCCTCCCCACCAGCGTAATGAAATAATTAGTTTATACCAGAGCTATGCTTGTTTAAGTCGTGATAATATCAAGAGATCCAGTGTCTACTGCATTCTGGGGTTTTGTGTGCAGTGATTAGTAATGTGGCTTGAGGCCATCACCGGGAGAACCCCGGTTTAACCACAGGTGGCTTGCCAGGGATGAAAATGGGAAAAATGTATGGGAATTCATACATTATCCCCCCCCCCCCCCAACACTAGATCTGTGCGTGTCTGTGGCTGTCTGAGCGTGTCTGTGGGTCTGTGTTAGTCAAGGGGTATAGTTGGGAGTCAAATACATTTTAAAAAGTGAATGATCCTTCCGGAACACATTCTGGTTCAAAATTTTCACTCCCATCACGACGTTCCGGCTTATTTCCACGACTGGCGGCTGCCCGAATTCGGATTCAGAATCTCGGCGGCCCACGGCTCGGCGCTTCCAAAATTTTCATCCAATCACCTCCTCCATCGTCAGTGATGTTTTAACACGGTTTGGTTAAGTCAGGGATTGTCAACCTGCCGCTTCCCGAGCCGCATGCGGCCCTTTAAGGGCTGCTTCTTGACGTTATTTATTGAAGACCGTCTCGTATTCAGACGTATTGCCGCTCTTGAAATATTGAGCGTTTTACCAAATTCGAAAAGTTGCTGTTATTTTGGTTGCCGACCCCAAGGTTAAGTCAGGACACTAGAAATGACACAATGTTGCAGTAGGTCCCTCATTTACACACCAACTCAATATGTAGTGCGTTGCATCGTGATGCAAAGTTGTAGAAAGAAAATCAAGATTTCCCCCCCCCCCCATACTGAATTGGCATC